TGTGTGTGTGTGTGTGTGTGTGTGTGTGTAATGAGTATATGTGGAAAAAATGGAAAAACTATAAGTGAATTTTACTTTAGCTCTCATCCCTCTCCCAGAATATAGAGATTTTTAGCTAGTTGCTAATTGCTAGTCAAGAAACAAGCTAACCTACAGAGTTTACATTCCAAATTGCAAACTTTATTAGTCATCATAGGTTAGAGATTGTAAACAATGTTGTTTAAGGGAACTTTGGAGAAGAGACTGGTGTTGTTAACCAGCTAAAGGATGTTGCTGCTGGTATTTGAGATATCTAAACATTCAAATACTAGCACTAAACTAGCTCTAAGTTTATGCTAACTGTACACTGGGTATTTGTAAATAAGTATTTCCTACAGTGTTCCCCATGGCAACTTTATTGGCGATAATACTACGTGTTAGTATTGCAATAATGAGATGTTGCAACCAACATCCAAAAAACCTGTCATTGCAACTATAAGGCTCCCGAGTGGAAATGAAACCTGTAGATTTAAGTAAACCAAATCTCAGTTTTCAATTCAGTTGTCCCATTTTTCAAAATCAAAATTGCAGTCAGAGTAAATTGAAAGCTGATACACAAAAATAATTCAAACTAGATTGTCTGTCTTCTCTGGAAGATGTTTTTGGACTTGTTTTTAAGTAAACCAGTGAAGTTAGGAACTACAGGACCACATGGTCTATCTGCTTTGGTGCTTATTGCTTTGTTGTTTTGACTTGCTACATTATTGTCATCAGCTTGGTTAATCATCCAATTTTCTATTGACCAATATGCGGTCAAATGCTTTGATTAGAACAGATTGGCTCGCAAAGTGGCTTCACAGTGTGCTGATGTCCGCTGCTGATTAGATACCGTCCATCCTAATTAGCCCCACATCGAAGCTGGGGAGCCACTTTTACTTTCAGCCCTGAGATTTGCAGACACAAGAGGCTTTTGTTTTTGTGGTTACTTTGTCATGCAATGCCCAACTCAAAAATACGTTGAAAGCTAGCCGTGCCAAGAACAGGATTGCGTTGTGATGACTGCTGCGGTTGTAATAGGCACGTACACACCGAGCTCGTGACATGAATATAAATGCTTCATTTTGACGGAGGCTCATTTGTGCTCTTTTGTGTGATCTAATTAAATTCAACCTTTCTCTTTGATGTTCACATAAATGTCTGATTGTCCAGTTGGATAACTTTTTGCTTTTCTTTTGTTTTCAATATTGTTAGACTCCTAGAACAAAAACAATGTCATTATTTTTGTTACATAGAATAAAACACGTGGATGTTGAGAGTGACTTCTTGTTTTGGTGTTTCCTTCGGACTGCATCTTCATACATTTCAGCGTTCTCTCTCTTCCATTTTTCTCTTATGCTCACACACAACATAAGCATGAGTCACCATCTAGCAGTGATGTCACACTGCTGCAGTGATGTCACCATTCATGCTGTTCTCATGGTAACCGTGCCCAGGCCAAAGCGCAGGGATACGAGTACACAAAACACGCTGCTTCACTCCACGTATTGATGCATAAGCGTGGAAATTTTAGGACTCCAAAAATTAATGTCACCTCCGGTATCCGCAGACTCTCATTCACTCAGCTGGATGACGAGGACAAATAATGGAACACGATGAAATGACTCATGAGATTTGAGCTTCGGATTGCTCTCTGTAAGACCTGGAAACACAAAAACAACACATTTTATGCGCTTGTTTTAGTGCCTGTATCCTTACAGGACTCTGTATTTGTGGAAACATATAAAGACAGAAGCCCCAGAAACCCATCACAGCGATATTATCAGCTCTCTGCTTTTGGTTCACTCCTCGGTTTAAACTGCACTTACTTGGCCCTTTTTTTTTTCCATCACTCATTCCCTAGCCATCCATCACGGATCGATATAAATCTATTCTGAGCCTTGTTGCATCAGGCTTCAGCTCAGTGGAAAGCCAAACAGCCCAAATGTACACACACACAAGCTGTGAGCAGCAGAGAAACCGTGAATCACACTGCAGCAATAGAGGTCACGGTGAAGGGGGGGGTGCAGTTTGCTGAGCAGCCACCAGATGGAGCTGTGAGCCAAGTCAGCTTTGAGGTCCTAACAGCATGTCGGTGACATTTTAAAACAAAGTCCTCACAAAGACCACGCAAAGGTCATTGTTTCATTTCACATTTTCCAAAGCCAGTGGACTGGATTGGAGTCCTTCCCAGGTCGATTCTGGCCCCAAGGTCTTATGTTTGACAACCCTGAGTTAGATGGACCGGCCTGCCAAGGAACTTTCTGTCGTGTTGTCCACGGATGGCCCTGAGTGCACCGGAATGGATGAGGAGAGGACAAAAGAGCTACTACGTCCTTTCAGCATAAATACTAGCACTGACAGAGCAACACTGGTGCTTTTTTAATATACGTATTCACAGCAAGTTGCATTATAAGTCCAGCTCACATTACAGAGTATAACTGCAACATCTGCAAGTGTTAGATAGTTTGACAGAGCATGAACATGTTGAAATATTCACACACGTATTAAACTTAAGAGTTTGGCATCAACCCTTCAACTCACTTGTCTCATTGTTAGGGTTCTCTAATATAACATGGTATTCAGCTTTTTAAAAACCCTATTATGACTGTTGTGAAGAAAACTCCTTCAGCTGTTGTCCCGCCATCCTCTGTCTGCCATCAGCCATATGTCCAGTTATTCAGTTAAAGGGTGATCACTGGTCCAGGTATCACTAGAACACCGGCCACCACATGTTGACTAGTAAACAGTGTTAAAGAAGGAGTAAGCAACACCGATTTCTTGGATCGAAATGTATTAATGCAAAGGTTAAATAACACTAAGGGAAAGGCTACAATAGAATGAGTTCACAAGGGGCAGATGACCATTTGGTAAGTTGAGAACTTGAAGTGGATGAGGAGGTTGAAGAGGTGACGTAATGGAGAGGGCGAGGATGAGGAGTCAGAAACAGTAGTGAGTACTGTACAGCTCTGCTCTATATCACCTATACTCCGGGTCCCTCCATACTCTCGGTCTTTCCTCTGGATGAAGCTGGAAGCTCTTATACTGGCAGCCCCACTGTTTCACAGATTTTTTTGTGCAACTTTGCATGCTTTTTCTTCTAACCCCTAACCCTAACCCTTTTTCACAGCGCATCGTGTTCTGCATTCTGATTGGCTGTAGACCATTGTCAATCACTCTCCTGCCGTGTCTCCTTACAGTACGGAAGGCATTCATCTTGTCAAATTTACATGACTCTTTCATTGCTAGCAGTGTGACTCTGAAGTACTGTACTGTATGTTTGTAAGTTGTAAGTCCCCAACAAACACAACAATGTCGATTAAACATTTGCACCGCCCCATCGCCTGCAGTAGCACCCAAAAGGCAGAGGAAGATGCTAACCATCGCACAAAAAGTTGGACTTCTGGACATGCTAAAGGAAGGTAGAAGTTACCGTATGTTTCGGATTATAAGGCACATGAAGCGAAACAAAACACTCAAATAAGTCAATCTCTACTCAACTCATTCTTCTTGCTTCCTCTACTTCGGTACCATTGACTGATTAATGTTGAATTCTCTCGCAGCTGCTCTATTCCCATGTTCTGGACCTACGAAGGTTTGAGTGTTTAAACAAGAGAGAAAAGTGTGAAAATGTTCATGGCTGTCTGAGAAAAGTGTATAAAGCGTGTAGTGAGGGGTTTTACGGCCTTAAAACATCTATAATAATTGTAAAAAATAAAGTTGGCTACTTCGTGGATTTCACCTATCGTGGGTTATTTTTAGAGCGTAACTCCCGCGATAAACGAGGGACGACTGTAATTCATCATTGGTGACTACGGAAACCCTACCCACCTAATCTAACCCAAGACAATGACAAGATTGCATCTACGAGGTGGGAACTCAGACTCTGACCCTGCTGCATATGCATTTCCGTTATATTTAAAGCAAGTCTTATTTTTTGTGCTTGATATTGAAATGAAGTGACAGCACCTGGGTTTAAAAAACAGTGAAACTTCTGTAAGTCACCTGTGAGGTATCATATTTGGGGGTTTCACAAATCTGGCCCTGTGTGACAAAATTTTGGTGAACTTTCTTTGTTAGTCTTTTGTGAATTCAGAAAAAAAAGTAATATTTGTTTCTAAATCCAAGTTAAAACCTGTAATACTTTGGTTGGGGTTTTTTTTGGGTTTTTTTTACATTTAGCCTAAAACATTTATGAACTTGTAATTTTTGTGTGTGTGTAAAATACAGCAACAAACCACAGCAGCACTGAGCTCGATGCTGGGCTGTGTTATTAGGAGTACAGCCACTAATGGGCCTGCATTTTACTGAGTGTGCAACCTTGGTTTAAATGAAGGTTACATCCATTATGTGCTACCTTTAGGCTAATCTATCCCCATTCCCTTAACACCCCCTCCCTCACTGCCTCTTATACTTGCTATACCCCAGTAGTTATTGTTTAAAAAGTCGAAATCTATTTACATGTTTCTAAAAACACAGAGTTAGCTGGTGTTATAATATGATAATTCCACTTTTTTCTCTAATGATTTGTCCAGTCTTTCACCTGATTGGCCTTCACCAATCAAGTCACGTGGTTAAAAAAAAAAAAAAAAGCAGGCTGGCTCGCCACTGGATAAAATGGCTCATCACTTAGGCTATTTTTTGCTGTGTACTTACCGTGTGCCTGAGCATCCCATGAGCCTCTGGGGCAAACTGCATCGTCAACACACGAGGGACGGTGTTGTTGGCGGGGAGGGGGGTGTAGAGGAGGGGCCGCGCTGAATAAGGAAGTGGGGTTGTGATTGGTCGGCAGGAGGGGAACGAATGACACCAGGGAGCCGAGAGAGTGATTGAATGGGACAGAGAGGAAGGGGAAAGGGAGGGAGAGGGGAGCAAGGGGATAGAGACAGGCAGAGAGGTAGCAGCAGATGGATTGCTGCACAGCCCGCAACATACTTACCGAGGACAGACTGTATGTGTGACAGCGCGTGTGTGCATGTACGCTGTCACAGAGGAGCACGGTTGTGAATGAGTATTTCATGTTGTGTGGAAGTGGATGCAAGGAGCAGTAATTCTCTTGAAGGGGTGGGGGGAACGAGGGATACAGACAAGTGAAGAGTCAACACTTTCGCTCTTCACACTTGGACTACTTTCAGGGCAGGTGCAACACCAACAAACCACTTTAGTAAGCCAATCACCAATGAACGTGACAGAAGAGTCTCCGTAAATGCTACAGACTGAGGCGGGACATATTCTGTGTTTGCTTGTGTTTTTTAAACATTTTTCTTTGTTTTTTTCGCCTGAGCGGAGGACAGTGTCTTTACCAAAGGTAGAGTAGTCTGGATAGCTTTGGGAGTGCAGACAGAGGGATCCTCTATGGTGAAAATGAGTCTGGAGCCTGTGCAGGTGATGAGCGGACAGGTCGCCGAGCTCAAAGTTGCCCCTTCGTCCAACGGCGACAGCGCAGGATCGTGGGAGGGGAAAAGAGAGTTTGACAAAGACCACCTGGGCCTCACTGCCAAGCCAAAGCCAGTAAGTCTCACTCTCCACCCAGAACTGCATGTGTCCCACTTTTATTATGTAATCTTTCCAGATCACAAGAGTGCGAAGGCCTTGCCGGTTGAGACAATCACATGGAACCAAACAACCCTCTGTACTCCTCTTCCTTCTCTCCACCCTGTTGCTGCCCCCCCCCACGCCCAGCTTATTCTCTCAAGTCAGCTGTTGACATTGCCCACGTGCGGTTTTAAGCACACACTGGGAATCAGGAGCGGTCAGGCAAACTGTGAGTCTGGCTGTATTTTGGGGTCCACAGACTATGAGTTCAGAGTCTATTTCATCCTTTGCCTCGGTCATGAATGAATTGAAGAAAAAACTAATATCTTCTGTGTCTGCCAGAGTTTAGCAGCTGGGCAGGCAAGCTGATAATGATGATCACTCACTGGACGTGGGTGCACAGGCTCATTTACACAAGATTTAATGACAGCAATACACACGATGCCTTTTAATGATGTATTTCCAAATAAATCTAAGGTCACAGTCGACCTGTCTAACATTAGGGTTGCAGTTGCCACATGCTACATAGGCACATTTTAAGAAACTAGAAGATACGACCTATCAAAATAAATCTCCTACACGTAATTAGAGTTGTTCTGCTCAAAGCGTTTCCATTTGGGAATTCCTAACAGACAAAAATTTTATGAACCGCACCTTTCACCCAAATCATAGATGGGCTGATGATGACCTGGTAGATGTCAAGAGGATGTTTTATATAATAGATTTAAACAAATGTACTGTAGTGAAATCACACAGAAAGCCAGCAGTCACATGCTTTAATCTCTTAATGAACAATTCGAATATATTACAAAGTTTGCTTGACCAGACTGCAGCTATACTTGATCGCTAGGTCCACAGCCTGGACTTATATTAAACTGTCGAGATGAAAACTCCAGTTTGTAAATGTTTAGCTTGGATCTCAGCTTACAATTAAAAGGGATCAGATCACACTCCCTGGCAAAGGTTTTGATTCTGTTTATAGCGTTGCAGGATATTGAACAGAACATACTGTACCATTTCCAGGGAATCACGGACCAGGCTGCTAAACTAATCCGAGTGACTCTGAGAGGGCATAACTGTAATGTAACTAACAAAGCATTTAGTAAGCTCGTACGATTAGAAGAATAAGGGCAGGAAGAAAAACATTAAAGACTGAGTTATGTATTCACAGGAAATGCAAGCTAACGTGAAAGGACTCAGCTAAAAGTGTCTAAAAGCCGAGTAATCTGTGCTGCTCGAAGATTAACGCGGCCACATCGGTGTATTTTCGGACTGTAAACATGCATCCCCATGTGTCCCAATGATAGCGCTTAGCTATCTGTCTAAATATTACCGCATCGTATTACGGTGTAATGCATTCATCTGAAAGAGCACATACCTACATAACAGCATTAGAAAAAACTGTATGTGATTATTTATCATAGGAACTGCACCGAATAGATTACACTGAGTTTATTTCAATGAATGAACTTTCTAATTGAACAAAAGAAATCACCATCTGGTTATGATCTCGTTTTCCATCAGGTGGTGTGATAAGTAATCAAACACAGTGAAATGAACTTTAAGCAGAACATATATAAGAGGACAAATAAAGGGTCATATTTGGAAGGTGTTACTTCTTTTTAGTTGTGCACTTTTAGCCATGTTACCGTGTCATATTAAATAATTCTTTAAATAATTTAAATGGTCTGACAAGTGTAACCAAATAGCACTGATAGACCTTTTCATTATATCTATGCTGAAACAGAACACGTCCAAAGGCAGGTAATGAGGGTTTTTTTTTTCAACCCTAATCTATTTGAAAACAGTTTAAATGTGGTGAACAGGTTTTATCTTAACTTGTTGTCATTATTTAAAATACAGGAAGGTCTAAAGCAATGCTGCAAACAATTTTTAAATCCTCCAGTATTGTATGAACACAAAGATGTATCACTGTGCAAGTAAATATCACACAGTTTCTACACTTTTTATACCTTTAGTTTTTCTATATTATAGATCATAGGAAATACTAAAGCAAGGTCAAACTCATTTTAGTTTGTGGGAAACACACAGTCCAATTTTTTATCTTACTAGTTACCAGAAAAATACAGCTTAATAAACTTTTTGTTGCTGTTTCCTTTTACTGTAAAGACGTTTAAGCACATTCTGAAAATGCTCACATTAAAAAAAATCAAAATAACAAAAACAATCCAAACTAGCAAACTGACAATGAAATAGTTTTTGGCAATTTTGTTCAGGTTCAACCACATATCATAGGTTTTCCACATTCAGTATAAAGAAACACTACTGCAGTAAATCAGTCCAACTTCTTGGGCTTAACAACCACAGTTTGGTGCCATCTGTCAGCAAGGAGGCTGTAAAACTGAATAAATTAGCAGTTTGGACTTTATGCTAAGGATGTAATCCATTCCTACGGATTTGCAACATGCACAAAATAGTATAAAATTCCCTCCTTTGTAATGTTTGCTCTGTGCAAAGCTATTAATGGAGATAAATTGGACATTTTGGTTGGTCAGATCTCGTCCCAGAGATGTTTGACACCCTGCATCAGCGTAACTTTGTGCTGACATTCATCTCTGTCTAAATAAATAAATAAATACATCTGGGTAAATTCGCAGATGAGTAAACATGCAACTATTTTGCTGGTAATAACTGAAATGAGTAAAGAAAATCAACAGCCTATTTATGCAAGATAATTCATAATTTTATTGGGGGGGTATGTTGGTTGGGTCTGGAAATTACGCCCCTGCCCCTATGTTAAAAGACTAAAATTAGGCTTGTGGTGAGAGGTTGTGTGAGGTTAATAATGTAAAGTGACTCACAACTCACAAAAAATGCAAAGTGACGACACATAAAAGACGTCTGTGTTATTTATACCCTACTCAGTGATGCCAGGCTGGTCTGTGTCACTGTCTCCCGTGACTTCCTGTAAGCCTCTTTTACACGTTTATCTTAGACAAGATCAAAAGAAATCATAAATGAGTAATTATACTGTCAAACCTTCAACTATCATACCCAAAGTCTGGCATAAAAAATGCACAAACACTAACCAAATACCGTGCACGTTATTTCATGATGCATAATTTTCAGTTGGGTGATAATACTGGCCTGATTTTTAGACCAAACCTCATAAACCCTGTGTTAGCATTGCTGTTTCTGGCAGTGTCCGGTCACTCTGCCGTGTTACCATATCTGCCGGTGCTGGAACAGACTGCATCATCACTGGCCTTTACCTTATCTATAAATATCTGCACCACCCCGATCGCCTCACCCTGCCAGTCTCTGCTCACACTCTCACTGCTTTTATTTTCCCACCGCTTCCCCCTCTCACCCTCTTTCACCTTTTTTCTCTCCCCACCCCTGCTCCCCGTGGGTAGAAGGGATGTCTCTCAGGCTGTAATATGTAAATAACACATGACTCATGGATACCAGTCGGGGTATCCATGATCTGGGAAGCTCTAACGGGATTAAAATATAAAGGGGGAAGCTGAGCACCACTTCAGAATCACACTGAGGATTTTCCTTTTTTTCCTTCTTTTTTTTTTTATCACCATCAACTTTATTTATACAGTTGCCTCTGCCATCACAGACATCAGTGGGTTGGAAGTGATTATAGTTACTCTGAGTCCCCAGTGCAGAGGAGCCATATGACTGGGTTTGGAGGCCCGCTCAGAGAGGCCAGGCAGTTAACACTACTGGTATCAAATCACAGCAAAGCACCGGAGTCTTGCTCTGGGATCACTCTCAGACGGTGTGACACGTGGGGGTGCAACGATACACAAAATTCACGGTTCGGTTCGGTTCGATACTTTGGTGTCACGGTTCGATATTTTTTCGATACAAAAAAATGTTCATGCATTTTTAATTTGTCATTTATTAAAATTATAAATATATATTTTAACTCAAAAGTACAGTTTTTAAATTTAACCCTAACCCTTGTGCGTGTTTTTTATTTTGACAGCGAATGCGCACCTGCGGACCACTTATGTGCAGCCCTGGTTATTTAGCTCGTCATATTGCAGCCACAGAAATTCTTTTGTCCATGAAACCATAAAGCTGCACTTTCTTTTTGCCTTATAGTCTGATTTGTCATAACTTCTCCGTTTTGTGGTAAGCTTTTCTTTGGCTGTCACTTCTTCACCCTGACCTGTCTTATTTGGCTCAGCAGAACTGAAATGCTTTTACACACGCACTCACATAAGCTCAGCGATTCTCTGCGCGATCAACCTCTCACATGTTTAAGCTGCGGGAGATTTCACTTGTCATGTTTGCATAGTAAGCTAACGATTGATAAGACGATGTCAGAGGAATTGGTGCACAAATTATCATCACTCACAGATCAGTGCTGTCGCTCTCTATACACAGTTCGCACGATTGCAAAGTGAAAGCAAAAAAACAAGCGCAAATTCAAACCCGACTTCAATATGTCACATATTGACAGTGGCTCACCGATGCCAATGACATAATTACCCAGCTACATTTCTGAAAGAATGCAAAAGCATTGACATATATTTTTCCTACAATAGCCCGACGGGCAGGGCAGAGATAGATTTTGGTAGCCCGACTGAAAAAATCGCTAGCCCCGGGACGTCGGGCTAGCGATATTGCGAGCCCTGTATCTGATTGAGGAATCACTCATCTTTGGAAAAGAGAGTTTATTACAGAGAAATGTCTCTTTCCAAAATAAAAGCTATACTATCTGCTTCTTCTGGGCTATATTCTCAGCAGCATAAGGAGAATCATGTGCTAACAGCTGTCTAAATGACTCGGCTAAAGTTAGTAGCATGCTTGTTGTTTTTGTCTTTGCACTAGGATGATGTCGGCGTAAATGTGCAGTCATATTCGTTGTGTTCCCACTAGTGCTTTCAGGTTAATCTCGTTGAAATGACCTTAACGCCACAACACGGCAAATCTTCGTTAACGAGCTACCACTGATCGCTCCATGCATGGGGCTAGACGGCCAACACGTTAACGAGCTAACTGCGCTAGCACACTAGTTCACACCAATGTAATTGAGCATTGCATGGCACATCCAACATACTGTTTTACTTTAGTCCATGACTCGCTTACCTTCAGGGTCATACGTCACATGAAAACCAAAATAATTCCAAACGCCAGAACTGAATGAGGGTGGGGGAGGTGCCCTGCGCTCTTCGTTCTGACTATGCTGTCTGTGTTGAGCGCTCAGTGGATCTGCGCTGGACAGTGCAGCCTAGGCGGAGTAGTCGAACACAGATTCACTGAGCGCTCAACACAGACAGCATCGTCAGAAGGAAAATTGATAAAATAAATTACAAATGTTGTATTGTTCGATACATATGCGTACCGAACCGAAAGCACTGTATCGAACGGTTCAATATTGATACGAGTATCGTTGCACCCCTAGTGACACGTTATTCATAGAGTAGACTGTGTACCAAAAGTCTGGTACACCTGCAAAACTGTCTGAGATTTTGTGCACGTTGATCACATTTCTCGTTTGTCTCCATAGCTTTTAGAAATATGTAGAATTATGCGTCAGGCATAGCAGGACATTATTTAAAGGAAATATTGTGATGCTGAAAAAAAGCTTTGTGATGAATAAAAACTGTCATTCTGCTAAGGTGACAGGGAGACGAGCCCGGAAGGTGGAGGGAGGCGTGTTCTTCGTAAGTATGTCGCGGTTGAAAGTTGGTGTCCAGTCAGTGCCACACCTTTCACCCTGTTTGAACCTCCTGTGATGGCTGTTGATGTGCCTGCATGATCACGGATACTCCCACTCTACTAACCAACGGGCTGACCTAACGCATCATCACGTGTGCTGTCATGTCGATCCATTCTTCACGTCCGTATTGGCTGCCGAAGGAATATACAGTCTCATACTCACCCTTCACTACACTGAATGTTTTGGTGACTTTGAAAAAATAATAGCAGTTTTTAGATGACATCCTCTCCTGCAGGCTCTGAAGCAACTCTCATGGCGCATCTGAAGTTTTTTCTTTGTTTTAGCAAGTCACAAACCTACTGACATTTGTAACTACGCCAATAACTAAACATCCAGCCTTTTTCAACAGTATCATGTGTGGCTCACTATTAGGAACTGGATTTGTTTGAAAAAAAAAAAGGTAATGATCTAATATTGTAGTTTGTTAAATATTTATTCTTTGTGGCCTTTAATTAACACCATCTCCCAGTGGGCATTCGTGTTACATCAGAGGTACTGATGGGAAAGATTCTCGTGTTTACAGCTTCTCGAGATGACAACAACTTGAGCTGGCAACTGCTAATCTGATTGTGCTACATCCAACGCTAACCAACAAAACAAAGAGACATGTACATTATTAAAAAAAAGATATATTATAGGCAATACTATTTAAGGAGTAAAATTAAAGTCTATAATTTGGCCAAAGACGTGATTTTCTTTTGCAGCATTACCTCTGCAAACTGCTACAGTAGATTTTTAAATCCAGCAATATGCAGTTGATGTGCAGACTTTCAGCTTTGATTCAAGGAGTTTAACAAAATCTATGTAAGAATGGTAAAAATATTTCTATACATAGTCCCTCACCCTCACTTTCAGAGGCTGAAAACCCCTAGATAATTGACTGACAAGCAGTTTTGTGGCCATCTTTCCCTTGTTTTATACACACACACACACACACACACACACACACACACACACACACACACACACACACACATATGATAAATAAAGAAGTGTTAAATTTGCATTTTATAGCTTTACAATGTAATTTTAAATAAAAGGTCAAAGTGAGGGACCCCATTATTAGGCTGAAAAAACAAAGTTTAGAGTCAAGAAACACTTTCATGAATGGAAATACAAAGGGTTTACACTAAGGTGCAAAACATTGGTTACACATTAAGACGAAGGCCAGGTTAGACTTTGCCAGAGAGATGGAGCTATCGAAGGTGGATTCAGGCCTGGCAGAGCATCTCAGTGGAAGAAACACAGCATTTGGTGATGTCCATGGGTTCCACACTTCAGATAGAGTGCAAAAGATTTTCATTGAAGGATTATTTAATGCAAACCTCTTGTTAAACCCCTTGGATTCAAGCTGAAAGCTGCACTTTTGAAGTGCAGACTACGCAGGATTGATCTATTACATTTTTATATTCTTGGACTCTACTAGAGTAGTGTTGCATGATTCACAGTTCAAAAGAATCTTTATTTAGCCCCTCAGTCTATTTAGTGTGTGTAACATGCCATTTCAGCTCCTCTCCCTCACTGTGAGCCAACTTTCTTCTTAATGACTAGTTTTTAAGACATTTGCCAAATTGATGAAGACCTTCTGCTTCCTAACGATACATTTCACTCTGACTAAAACATGAAGCAGATTTTTTTAAAACTTTTCTTCTCTTATTAAGTCAGCAAGAATAACACTCCACATTTTGTCTATTTTTATGCAGTTTTATTTTAACTGTCACTCCAGTCTTGCACTCTTGCTCTTCCTTTTTTACTTAGTTTTGCTAAGACAGGCTGTAATTGTCAGAACTCGTATGCCTGTGTTTGTATACGCTGCCGTAGGTAAATCCTTCAAGATGGCGTCAGGTTTAGAGTCGTGTAATTCATCTGTCATCACATTCATTGTGCTTCGCAGTCAGTGTTGATGTTTCATATAGTGAAACATATGTGGATCAGAAATGCATTACGACTAATAACAAAAAGAAGAAAACAATGATATTTTTGTATGATATGCATGCACGGAAAACATGTTTTTCAGTTCAGTGGACACAGAAATATAGAAACTGTCAAAATTAAATAGTGTTTCATCAAATCTATCCTTTAATCTGACTCCCATGTGGGATTAAGCCTAGCCAGTTGACGTGTGTGTTAACAGGTAAGTAGGCAACAGGTCAGCAAGCAGCAGGGTTGTGATGGAAAAGAGGCTAAATGCAGGAACAATGGCACGGCGCACATGTCGGCTTGTGGCCTATTTACAAGTACACAAGCGTCAAGGCTGAGATGAGAACAGGCAAACATCTCAATACACAGAATCCAACCCCTCACTCATCCGTGTGGAAACATACTGACTCACAAGCACAATTTTAGACACACTGAAAACAGCTGAAGATCACAGCACTGTATAAACAACAGTAAATATACAGTAAAATAATTAGCATCGGATTTAATCAATACTGCATCAGAACAGTACATTTAAAAAAAAAACCCATAAGCAACACTCCATTTACCCAGTGTCACATGACACACTTTCACACTTTCACATGCACATTAGTGTTCTCTGCATTGGCTGAAACACTTTGCCCCTTCACCCCACTCTTCCCACTACACAGGCACGAGTTCCTCTGCCCACTGTGGGCAATTATTGCCAGTTAACCCAGGAGGAATGCAGCTCCCCCCCGCCAACCCCTAAACACACAGGCCTGAGTGTAAACACACACATTGGGCAACATGAACACAATATGACACCACTGCGCCATCTAGCAGTTCATCTGAGATCATGGAAACAAAACACACATGTGCAGACAAAGCTCCAAAGAGCTCTACATACACTGACTCGTTAAAATGGACCTCTCTGTTATTTAGTGAAATATAAAATTGTTGTTTTTCCTTTTTTAAATGTATAGAATCTGAAAAGCATGAGGAAACAGGACGGGAGCGTTGACATTGTATTCTGAAGGTTTGACATTTTTGCCATTCATATAAAACAGTATGATTCCACACAAATTAAATTCTTATGACCATGTGCAAAGAACTTGGAGTCTTGTTACCTTTGAAGAGGTTTCTTTGAGGACAGGAACTAGGTCTGGGACTTTGGTAAATCAAGGTGCTGATAAAACAACATTAAATGTAGTGACTCTGCTCTCAGTTTGCGTTTTAATGGGCTCGAGCTGGCTGTTATGTGCAAACTGTTTGTGATAATATGGTGATTAACTGTGATAATTAACTGTGATAAGCTGGCAAAAAATTTGGAATCTATTGCCATCCACATACAAGAAATTCACATTAAACTGAAATTCACACTGACTAGTTAAATTCACAGACCAGCCAGAAGCTCATACAACAGAATTTCAGGAATCTCTCCACAAGTAGTCACACAGTTGCTGCATGATAGAGATACTGATAGGAACTGTTATTAAATAGGACTATGATTGGAATACAACAGCTTGGAAACCAGTTAAGTTGTTGAGTCGAGCTCCCTGTTGCAAAGAGACACATTGCAAATGACTTGTGTTGATCAGTGCAGACTGGCTCAGACTGCTGCCTACGTTTAAAAAGCAGCAATGATCTGCAAGCCTCCAAATTCTGAATGCCATTGGTCTATTTTCTCCTAGTCATATGAAGGTTTTTACTCTACTGCGGCTCAACCATTACCCTCCAGTTGGTGACTTCCAATAAAAATAAAAAGTAAAAGCAGTAATACTTGGCTAGTTGCGAGGGGACTCGTAGTCCCTGTGAAACTGATGACTGAAGCCCCACTCACACAGGCTTAGACACTCGTCAGGGGTCAGGTTACATCCTAGTAACTATAGGTTGCTAGGGAGAAATGTGGTTTCCCTGACCGCTTGCCAAGTGGATTTGTATTTAAGAACAGTACTAGAACGTACTTTTTAGTTCAAAAGCAAATTAAATTGGTGCGTTTGTGCATTTTCCCTCAACTTCTACTAAGATGCTGTTTGACTGTCTTTTTTGCACTGCATGTAAAGCCTGTTTATCCACGGAGCTCATGAGCAGGGAAATTTTCTTGTTAGACTTTTTCACGTGTTTGAGGCTAAAAAACACTTTAGGATTTATGATTTAGACCTTTGTCACCATGGTTACATTAACATATGTCACTCAGAGTCACAGAAATATGGAAAAATAACAAACAACAAACAGTAGAAACAAATATTGGTCTTTGGTTTGGTCATAATTAATGTTGTAAGGGGTTTTTTGGGGCGGGGGGGGGGTTGAATTTTTTTATATATTTACGAAATTAAATGCCTAAAAATCCATTTGGAGCTTGATTATTTGGCCCTACAAAGGTTCTCAAGGACAGGCTTGCTTTGTGTTGACAGTGCAGGGACGAATTGTGTTTCTTTTAATTCTAGAGGGTAAACACAGGATGGAACTTGTAAGATGAAAAGTCAGGAGGTCTGTGTTTACCACTTCTCCTTAATATTGTTTTGTGTCCCATGGTGATTATATCTTTTATATTTTCATTATTTTGTGTTTTGTACTTTTCTCTTGCTTCTGCACAATTCTAAATCTGATCTTTGCAATATTTTCATAATTACTACAGCCACATGAGGCTGAGGTGATATTGAAAGCTAACAACAAGCTGTAATCACGGACTGTATATGAGAGATGGACATTTTCTCTGTGTATGAAAAGAGAAGGGAATTTCAAACCTACACGCTTTTTAAAGCTCCATCCACACAGGAAGTAATTCGCTCATCAGGCTTCGCATTAAAGCTGTTTGGTCATTGGTGGACATACCAGGCTCTGGTAGCCTCTAGTTAACCCTAATGCATTAACTGCAATGTCATATGTGAATCACCTGTATCCTGTGTTCTCATTGGTACACATTTCAGTCGCTTGGCTCGAAGCTGAGATTTTCAAAGTTTCACATGTGACCTGCCCACTTATTTAGAAGACAGTCCCTTGAAGTTGTGTAACAGCTACTACAGTAGGTATGCACTCTATTGGATTTCTCAGATTTCCACTTCTTGCTCAAGATGGTGACAGCCAAAGTCTGAGGTTTTAATACGAGAGATTATACACATCCATTTTTATATATACTCAGTGCTCTTAAGCCCAATTTCTTGCTTTTTTATATCTGTATGTTAAACTGTTTTCTATAAATGTTGAAATTTTTAGTTTAACTTCATATGTGCATATTGTTATTAGTAACTCTTAATTTAGTATTGCTTTTATGAGTGCACCATGTTTAGTTTAACTGCAGTTTGTACTTTTTCTATTATAAAGGGATTTTGCCAACTAGATACTCTATTCTATGAAATTACATTATAATATCAAACAGCTTTAAAATTCACCCAAGATAGCACATTCTTTCATCTATATTCTTAAAAAACATAGAGAGACAGTTCCATAAACTCAAACAGTCACAATGTGATTGAAGTGAAGACTTCCAGCTCTTATTCAATAGTCATGAAATTGTCTGATTACTTTTCAGCCTCTGAAAATGGTTTTAATTCATAAACTGTTAATGCTGTACCTGTAAACAATTTTTGTGAGACTACATAGTTGAGTTTCTGAATATACATAGCCTTCATTCTCTATCACTCGAAATGACTCCTGTAATGTAATGGCATTCAAAGAAGTTAACATCGATAGCATTTAACACACTGATGTGAATATAACAACAATAGACCAAAACAGCACGTACTCTTTAAATAACCGGCACGCATTCCTCTCTGTGTTTCCCATTAACCTTTTCATTACTGTTCAGTGGTGTTCTCTTTTTTTGTTCATCTTTATCTTTCCATTGTCCACCTTGACTTTGGTTTTCTGCAGCCGAAGCCAGAGAACGCAGTGACCGTAGCTGTTTCCTCTCGGGTCCTGTTCCGGACTGAGCGGGAGCAAAAGGTGTTTGAGCAGCAAGGTGTGGAGGAATATCTGAGATACCAAATTGAACATGAGAACGAACCCTTTGCTCCTGGGCCTGCTTTCCCCTTTGTCAAGGTTAAATTCACACAAGCACACACAGATGTTATTTTTTAATTCTTAAATTCTTTTTTGGTCTTGATTTTTCTCAGCTGACTGTTTCTCTGTCTTGATAGGCTCTGGAGACGGTTAACGCTCGTCTGCGAGAGCTGTACCCCCAAAGTGAAGAACTGTTCGACATCGTTTTAGTAACATATAACCATGCCCACGTTGGAATCCGGCTCATCAACACCATCAACCACCACAGTAAGCCTAAAAACTGTCAGTGTACACAACTGAAAATGAATTACTCGCCCTACGTGGCACTATTAAAAGATGCTATGCAGCAGACAGAGTTCTCAGTTTAAATAGCTTCCTGTCATGGGATAACAGTCCATTGATAGGTCAATTATATATCTGAAATTTCAAGCACCCACACAGACACTATCAGTTTGACAAGCTTATTATCACACTCTCCATGTTGCCAATCTGAACTATGCCCACCGCCCCCCACATCATGTCTTTGAAATCAGAGTCTTTAAAGACCTCATTTGGTTTATAATCAGGAGAAAAAATATAATGTGCGCAGATCTGCTGTATGCAGTAAGTAGCTATCAGCCATGTTTCTTTATGTCCATGACAGTGCTGACACAGGAATTGGAATCACCTCTCTTCATATCATAGGTAATAACTGCAATCCTTGAATTTTGGACCAAAACTGACTTTTGTTTCCGCGCAAACTCCATGTTTGTGTGACTCATTAGCAATAACAGCAACACGTTCCAAAGCAACATGTTACTGTTATCACATAAAAATTTTCAGTAACAGAGTAATGTAACACATTACTGCACCAATCAGAATCTGTAATTACAGTCACAGTAATGCCTTGACTTGTGTTACAAATGTTTTTCAGTTATCTGCAGAAAAGAAAAAAAAAAGTCAAACAACAGGCCATTTTTCTTCGTTTTCAGTTTGCATGAGGAAGGAGGAAAATAATGGGAACTGTGTCCACATCAGAAACAAGTACATTATGCTGCTAACACAACTTCGGCTCTTTGCAAACATCTGCACACTAACAATGCTAACGAAAGCTGGCAAATCCCCAGATTGATGCTAAGGCTGAAAGGACACTTTACCATTACTTTGCTTTTAGCATTGCTTTCTGACAAGTAGTTAAAGAACATTTTTCTTAAGAACAGTAACATTTAATGTTCATCTGCTAACCCACCAGCTTGTCCCAGTTGTACAGAGATTGCAACTCTATTTTTACTCTGCTGTTACCGAGGCCTAAGACTGAGTTATAATTAGGAAAGAAGGAGTGAGGATGTTGGAGTATTTTGACATTTACCTTCAAAGCTGCATCACGTTTTGAAGACCTCAAGTGGGCATGACAGAAAGGTTGTAGGGGATTACATTCTGACATTTGAGGGCCTCGAGGGGATTGCGTGTCAAGGAATCTGGATAATGTACAACCATGTGTCCTTAAAATTTCTTAATCAGTTAGATAAGCAAGGGCATTTATACAGGGTGGCAGTAGCTCAGGAGGTAGAGCATCATCTACTGATCGGAAGGCTGGTGGTTCAATCCCTGGCTCCCCCTAGTCTGCATGCCAGATATCATTGGGCAAGATCATATTCATACTCCATTGCATCGGAGTGTGAATGGTAGTTGCTGTCTCTGTCTTTTCTCAGCAGTGCGCACAGATGGAGCAACGTTTACCTAAAAGCACAGAAGACAGTGCATGTGTGTTTTATAGAGTACTTTGAGAAAGTAAAAAGGTGTGGATGGTAGAAGCAAATGTTAGAGCATGATCAGGGTTAACAACATTCCTGGGAGGTGAAGTTATTATCAATGATGAGAGGTACGCTGGAAGATGCTTTTTAGAAAAGAAAAATAATAAATAAATAGCATTTGATGTGTGTCAGTTAGAATCTTTATTTCAACAAAGGGACAAAAAGAAAAAGAAAAAATACTGACGTGACAAAAAGCTAAATAATTATACTTAGTTTTCCTCCAAAATATAAGTTTAGGGCTGCTGCTGATCAATCACAACTTTACTAAGTGAAGCAGGTAATCCCTGTATAACTTAAAAAAAATAGTCTATAAATGCATCTGCTTTTTTCTGGGGTTTTTCTCAATTTAATGCTTCCAATAAGTGCACGCTTTCCCACTAACGTCCAAACCCAGCACCCAAAAGCATCCATACATCATCCAGAATCTGACGCAGGCTCAGCTGAGAGACAAACAGTGGAGTGTATGAACAGCTGACTGACAGGATCCTTCCCAGGGAAAGTCTCAGACCCCGTGATGACATCCCTCTCACAGACCACTTCCTGTTCAGTTGCTCTAATGTTTTCAGATCCTCGGGGCTTCATGACGGGAGTGGGTTCAAGCTTATTTCCCTTTGGGATGTAAGAATAATCCAAGAGGCCCGAAACAAAAACAAGTCTGAGCGAAGCCACCAAAGCAACACTCGGCCTTCCAGATGCCTCCATGTTAGATCCTCTCTGGTGGCTCTATGTGAGGCATTCAAACAGTCGCTTGACCTCTGAGCGTTCCTGCACACTTAAAGGAAACATGGCTTCTCTGATAACATTGATAAGTGTTTCATGAGCATCTTTCCTGCAGTAGGTCTCTCTGAGTAGCAAAGCCGTGTTAAAAAGATTGAGGATCATTTATTCTAGCTTGAAACTGGATGTGCGAACTGGACGTGTTTATTTTTGATTATCAGCGCACCCAAACTGTTTTTCGAGGCAGAATCAAGTATTAAATTCCTGCACTATACACCTATGAATAATGGACGTGTGCAGGCATACACCTGACTTCTATAGGGGCAGAATTCTACCTTAGCTTGTAGCTTGTTCTGGGTGCTCTGCAGTGTCTTTTCAGTCATGTTGATTTCCTGTTTTATTACCATGTTTCAGATGTTTTGAACAAGCAAATAAATCATGCAAAGAAGCTAGATGAAAACATTTTTCTTAATAGACAGGGGAAAAAGATACAAGAACGTCAATGGCAAGCATATTTTCCCTCGAGTGACTCCCACGCTCCTGCACCAGTCTGAAACACAGGATGAGGTGCGGTACAGCGTAGGGGAAGGGGAGGGGGTCAAACTCACCAGGGTCTGACTACAAAGCTAAATAAACCATTAAGAAAATCTTCAGAGGACAGTTGGTTCTTTGAGTAACTGAGAGGAGATTACTCAGGGGGCTTAAAGCAACACAGTTCCTCTGTTCCTTCTGGAGTCCAGCTCGTTTTGCCTAGAGCCTGATTATGAGTCACACTACATTTATCTGCCTTTGTTTCTTTCATGTGTCTTTAAAAGTGAACTTCACATTTTGAACTGATTACCAGAACAGCAACAGGCAAGGTTTATACATACAAATGTAGCCACCAAACTGCACAAAAATATCGAACTTTGCTTGTTTCAGCCTGAAGAATATTCGCTTTGTCCGCCTGCTTGTCCGTATGTTCTGTATTCAGCACAGAGCTGCACCTGCCTGGTTTGCCTCAGCATTTACTCCTATATTAATATTACATTATTATAGTCGACAGTGGGCTCTGCAAATTATTCGCAGTGGGGTATATATTTTCCCACATATTTTCCCAGTTCTTTGGAATGACGTGGGATAAACTTACTGAGCCTATAATACATTGAGGCAAAACTTGATCAAAGTTTTTTTATATCCAGCTAAAAAACAAACAAACAAACAGACATTTCTTATCAGCTTGGACTCATGAAAAAATGGAAAACTCAAGAAAGAGCATCTATTTGCTCATGTACATGGACGTCAGTTGTTTTGTGTTTTTGTAAGGTCTCAGTTCCACAGGCCTGGAGATGGATCGGTGATATCCTTTAACCTCAGGTTGGCAGATGGTTGCTGATGGTTGCTGGCAGTCTCCAAGCAAAATTTATTTAAAAAGAAAGGTTTACAAGCAAACCAGAAAGGGAGAATGTTCACCGTTGCTTTGCACTTTTCACAGTTTAACTACTGCTTGGAGAGTAGTTTGAGAGTGTTGCATCAGTCTGCTAGCATCTATAACAAATCCAAAAATGTTTTTGATCTGCCACCTGTTTTGTGCCCAATTTTCACCTGAGAGCGAGGAACCTCCAGCAACCACTTGCCAACCTATTGGGGGATACATGTTTTTACCTAGAAAATAGAAAGAAAAGTTGCCTGGGTGTTATCAACTGATCTGTAGGTCTGTGTGACTGAGGCCTTAGACCAGGGATGGCAAACTCACTTAGCATCGTGGGCCATGTAGATAGTCAAAAAACACCAACAGAAATTTTTGTAGAGAAAAAAACCCAGAGACTTTTCTGTCATCAAATTGTTTAATTGATACCTAATTACTTTGCTGTATGAATATCCAAGAGGGAGGTCTTTATCAGTAAGAAAAGGTAAAAAACTTGTGAATATACAATTAAAAGTCCAAGTCTTCATAGGACGTTTCTGGCACCCGGACCTGGTGATGGACACAGTTGCCTTAGACTTAGCACAGCTTTAACCTCCTAGGACCTGGCGTCCATATATGTGGACATCACATTTTGGGTTGTCTAGACCAGATTACTAAATTTTGCTCTACTTGGGCCTGATATGCACTTACGGGGACATTATAATGCCATTGTTCTATCGAAATTTAAAACGAATGTCCTCATATGTGGATATCAGGCCCTTGTAGAGTAAAATCAGGTAAAAACATCATTCTTTGTTTTTACATTCATGAGGTCCCAATCAGCCCAAACAGCAAAGAGAAATTAAAAATGCTTGCTACGAAAGAGTTCGGGTCTTCCCTGCTGCAGCATTTACCGAGAACATTTTAAGCCATCTTTTGTTATTTTTGGAGCGGTTACAACATATAAGCATTTAGATTATACCCTGCTTGGAAAAAAAAAGTAAGGGAAACTCTCTAATCAGAGTATAACACAAACTCAGTTAATATTCAAGCTGTCCAATTACTGTATCCATATCATCTGCTTTAGAGCAAATCAAATGTGTGTTTTCACTTGCAGCTGACTTTTTACACTAAAGGTCAGTGAGTACAGCGTAGACTGGAATAACAGTTAGCTTTGCAGCGTTACAGTCTCAGAAGGTCATTAGCTGCTGCAGTTTAGGCTCTAAAATGACAATTTTACAACATATAGAAGCAAATTACATGGAGTAGGAGTTTTAATGTACTCTGATATTTTATTTGCCTCTTTTAAGTTCCCAAACGTTGTGGAAGCCCTGTGCTAAAAAAGGCCAGTGGACCTTTATTGTGGATGAAGATAAATTCATGCCTCGGTGATTGCAGCTTTAAATAATTGGAATAACCTTCCCATTTCTCTTTTTATAAATCTCCCGTCCACACTAACCTCCTCCTCTTACTTCATCTCCATATATCTTAGGTGTCGCCTACCTTTTCATTCTATTATGACCTTCAACTCTAATCAAACTCAATCCATCACCAGATATTACTCTATTTTACTCCCGTGCCCTTTCTAATAGCCCCCCATCATCTTTTCCCTCATAAATACCAGCTCATTTTACCCAATGACACAGATATAATCCGCAGATCTGTACTCGTGGATCTAATTACCTAATATCAGTCTCTTCTCATTTTCCACATACCGACTGTCCACTGCTCGGTGGATCAGTCCACAGCAGCGAATTAAAAGGCCTCCCAAGCCAAAATGTAAACAGACACTTTCCCACCAAGTCTTTTCGCTTCCTCCTCTCATCTGCACAGCCTCCGTCTTCCCGCCCTTCTATTAACCCCCTCTCTGGACCCTCTCCATGTTTTAAGTACTTGTAAGTTTATCCTCTCACCATGTCTTTAGAACATCTTCGCTCCTTTTTGCCGTCCACGGCCCCCGAAGTGACCCTTTCGTGAACTCCCTGACAGTCAGAGCCCCAGCTTCTAGTGCAAATATAGATTATATAAGCGACTCTTTGAAGTCATGCGGTGTTTGCTGGTATGCTAACATGCAAATAGATGCATTTATCAACACTGTAATGGATCTGTAATGCTGATGATGGACTGAATGCTGACATTTAACACCAGATGATGTACTGAAATTAAAAACCTTGTTGCTATTTGTTCCTCTCATCCACAGACTTGTTCATTGAGAGGTTTTGTATGACGGGGGGGAGCAGTCCTATTGGCTACCTGAAGGCCTGGCAAACCAACCTCTACTTGTCTGCTGATGCCAACAAGGTTAGGGAGGCGCTGACTGAAGGTAAGGCCAGTCCTGCCACAAAGCTGAAAAATACTTAGAAGTTACTAAAGTTTACAGCTTTTTCTACGTTTCACACCAGATTTTTTTTTTTTTGCATTATGTGACTCTTATATAATAATGATTGAAAGCTGTAGCACAGGACTTTTACAAGCTAATAAATATCTGTTTATTAGCAATTTAAAAAAAAAGAGTTTACACAGTGTTATTGAAGTATATCGTTACCTCGTGACTCTGTATTTTGCACAGTTCTAAACCTGCTGTCTTTCATTGACTGTATATAAAAGATCGCCATTGTGTTGTACTTTATTAGTTTTGGATTGCTCATTTTGAAGCGTTAATGCTAGCTTTTTTCCCCCGCCATTTTTTTGTGTCTCTGTTTGTGTGTGTGTGTGTGTGTGTGTGTGTCAGAAGTTTTGCATGAAACGGAGAACCAGCTTGACAGCTAAAGCTTGTCAGCTTGGTGAGCAAGCGGCATCCATAAATGGTGGAAGTGTTAGTAAACAGTTGACCTTTGCTCCAGGAGGGGCAAAGGGCCTAACCAACCACCTAAACATAAACCATAAAATGTACGAGTGCAACACACAAAGATGGCTGCTAACTGGTAGTAAGTGATGGATAAAGAAAAGACTAGAAAATTCTCTTGCAAATATTAAAGCACAAACGTCTTGCTGGACCACACAGCAGATCATATTGGAATTAATATTCTAAATTCCATTAAAAAGTGCAAACAGCACAAAAATTTAACTTGAATTAAAGTAAAATGAGGTCTAATAAACAGTGATTGGACCAGAGACCAATACACAGGACTATCAACATGCTTTTTTATTTTTGCATTTTAAGATGGGATTTATTGGGGATTAAATGGCTTTTGGAACGGGGCCTCTTGTAGTCCTTAGATTAACTGCAGATTTTGTCACCTCAGCATTAACCTAATTTTCCAGTCGTAGAGCGTGGGATGATTGGTTTACCAGAAAAACTAGGAACAACTAAAACAGGAATAGAAAATTGAGGAATCTCCTGAGGATGGGTTACTGAATAACCACTAATCACCAGAGAGGATTACATTAGTACAGCATTTGGTTTATGTTCATATAATTACCATCCGACTATAGTGGAAGACAAAAGAATTCAGATCTGAGAACAGTAGATGGCAGTGATCGTGCTCGTATTTGCCTCCAAATATGGGGTGCATTGTCACAATAAAAAATATATATTTATGCATGCTAGTATCCTGGTGTCCTCCTAGAGATCGGAGTAATTTAAATGGAGTAATCCAGTTATATGTTTTAGACATTTAGAAAGTCTCACAGAAGCAGTTTAGCATACAAATTAAAGGCAAACCAGTAGCATCAAGTCATACACGGCCCTCACACACTCCGTTACTTCAGCTTTATTTTGATCAGGGAAATGTGTCCGAAGGAATGCCTTCAGGAAGCTTTCGTGCCTCACATTTAATTAAATCGTCCTTCTGAGGGAGCTTGATCTTGAATTCTTTTCAAAGCACGCGTCATGTAACCGCACTAGTTGGTTTGGCCTATTTGCATGCATTTTATTTACATGTAGTTTCAGCACACTTGACCTTTTCCAAGCTGGATAACAAAAACTAGTTTTTGAAAGTCTTTTTTTCAGACACAGATAGAAATGTTTTGAGATATACAGGTTCAAGTATGATTTGAAATTCATAGCAATAAAAAACTGATCTAATCCCTAAATCATAAATCCCCAAATATATGCCATGTCATACATAGAAAAACTACAAAGCAGCCTGCACACAGACACACACACACACACACACACACACACACTGTGCTAGGAGTGTACATTGTGTACAGTGTGTGTATTTGCATAAGAAGTAGCAATGACATCTTCTGCAGTGCTGCTGTGACTTTAGTCTTTGCACTCTATTTGATGGTTTCCATGGTACCAACATCCTATTTGTTGTAGCTTTGGCTAATTTGTGTCACAATTTGAAGTCACTGGTCATTTTCTGCCAAAGAAATAAGAGCCATTAAAATGCAACGATGGAAAATTTGTGGGACTTGAGGTGACAACCACATCCAACGATTTAAATCCCTTCTGTGCAGCGAATTTCATGCTGCATTATTACTGCAGCCAACACAGAGGAGGTTTTTGTGACACAATCTGTGTCACTGGGTGTATAAACTTGAGACAAATTTAAGGAAAATTAACTGGCTGTGTAAAGCTTCAAGTGGCTATGGTTTAAGTTCTGTCGCACAGTAAACCTGCTCTGGAGCACGTAAAAAATCCACAAGTGCAAAATGAGTGCCTACTGACCAATTAGTTTGCCAGAAAATCGCATCACCATTTCTGGAAGATAGTGAGACGTTTTTCTTTCCCGACAAGCACTGAGAGGAAATATAATAGCTCAGGAGCAACATTACTCATAGCTTGTTTTTCCCCGTTGGCCTCAAGTAGCAAATCAGTTTTATTTTTCTATCAGCCTTAACATAGAAATGTAATCCCAACACAGGACGGTCTAAGCCATGCACTTTATAACCTTATATAAAATTTGCAGATAAACCCACTTACTGGTTTGAATTCTGTTTTTATCTTTGCTCTTTGTTTGCTCTCACATAGTTTTAACCCTGCTGGGTTGCAGCTGAAAGAATTCATGAATTTTATCTGAGACTTAATTATGGGCTGTCTGTAAATGGACTGCGTTTATGCACCACTTTTGCAGTCTTTCTGACCTCTTGAAGCACTTTGCACTACAGTCACATTCACATATTAATACAGCAGGTTTTCACAAGGTGTAGAGCTTTCAGCTGTATTGTGTTTAACCTCACGTTATAATTTTCGTTTTGTTTGTAAAATATCCGCTCTGCTTCCCAGGAGACCTGTGCATGCTTGTGATTGGTCATTTGTTGCAAACGTCACCCTCTTCATGTGCACACACATGCTACTTAGGGCATGCCACGTTGATGACTGGGAAGGCCACAGAACAATATAACCTAAAGGGATCAAGGGCTTCCTTTAACTGTCAACCATCTGTAGCCGTCAAGGCATCTCCAGGGACTTTGTTCATGTCATTTACAAGCTTCGTGCCAGTAATGCCGCGCCTCTGTGGGAGGCAGCTCCTCAAAAACACAGAGCACATAAGCAGTGAAGCAAAGGAAGTGGTTCTGACATTTTACTTGAAAGCTCTTAATTAGCTGTAAATCCATTTGTTAATACTTCCTCTGAGTGTTAGAGCATGTTTTTAAGGACTGCGGCTATGAAGGTGACAGTTAAAACCTTCCTGATTTGTTCTGTTTCTGGCAGGAAATGAAAGAGAGCACTGAATGAAGTGAAAGATGCTTTTTTGCACCTTAGAAAATCAAAAGATTTATTTGTGAACTGAAGTGACGTTTAAAAGCTGATTTTAGCTAAACAAGTGATGTCTCTGTTTACTTGATTCTCAACCACTCAATATGCAAAAACACTGTTTAGAAAAATTAAAGGAACACTTTTTTTAATCCGAGTGTAGCACCAACTAAATTAAGATGCCTTGCTGTGTCTCCCAGCACAGTCTCAAGAGCATGGGGAAGATTCCTGGAGGCAGACAGTTACTTTAGGGCCCTTAACCCACCAGCGAGACTGTTATTTGCTTCTGTGTGCAAGAAGGAACTGGATGAGCACTGCCAGAGCTACAAAATGACCTCCAGCAGGACACTGGTTTGAATGTCTCTGACTAAACAATCAGAAATAGACTTTATCAGGGTGGCCTGATAGCCAGTGGATCCTGTGCTCATTGCCTGGCACCGTGGAGCCCAGTGGGCATTTGCCGTGGAATATCAGAATTAGCAGGTTCACCGCTGGCACCCTGTGCTTTTCACAGAGAGAGAACAAGTTCACCCTGAGCACATGTGACAGACATTAAAGAGTCTGGAAAAACTGTGGAAAACGTTATACTGTCTGTAACATCGTTGGTCTTTCAGTGATGGTCTGCAGAGAGATATCCATGGCAGGTATACTGGCTAGGTAATTGCAGACTGGCTGCCATTAATATTAGGATGAAACCCTTGGATCTTTGTCAGGCCCTACACTGGTACACTAGGTCCTGGGTTCCTCAAGGTGCAAATGGCAATGCCTGCTCTCATGTGGTGAGAGTATGCAGGAGGTTCCTGAAAGATTAAGAAATTGATATCCTTGACTGGCCCCCAGTTTACCTCAAATTGTCCAGGAGCTCTTTGATGCTCTGATCCAGATCTTGGGGGAGATCCTCCAGGACACCATCCATCATATTATTAGCAACATCCCCCATGAGCCTGTGGGGACCATACACACTATTCAGTACCAGTTTGAGCTGCTGCAATGAAAGGAAAACGGACTAGCCATGAACTGAAACATGAAGTAAAGGAAGCAGGGCAAAATATCTGATAGGGAAGGCAACTCCTGACTCCCTCTAAAGAAGAAATGCAGAGAGTGCAGTTCAGAATTAAGTGCAGGAAGTGAAGGAATGAATCATAATGTACTAATGTTAAAAACAAATGAAGTGTACAAACACAACTTCTCTTTAGCTGTAATTAGCTAAGTGATAGTTGAGCCCTTTATTGTCTTATGCATTTGTGTTCAGGCATCGCAGCAGCCACAATGTTCATGCCGGAGAAGATGACAGAGGTATCCGAGTCCCAGCTAAGAGTGGCATTTGATGGCGATGCTGTCCTCTTCTCAGATGAGTCAGAACGCATCTTCAAGGCCCATGGGCTGGACAAATTCTTCGAACATGAGAAGGAAAATGAGGACAGGCTACTGGACCATGTTTGTATTCTTTAATTGAATTTCTTTGCATTGATTTTTATTCTATTCAGTTTTATTTATAGCGCACCAAATCACAACAACAGTGACCTCAAGGTGCTTTCTATTGTAAAGACCCTACAATAACAGAGAGAAAACATCAACAACAGTTTAAACTAGCACTTTAGCGACAGAGGGAAAGAAAAACTTCCTTTTAACAGGAAGACAGGCAGGGTGTTTTGTTAATACGTTTCTCTTAACAGGATCCGTGGTGTTGGTGACAACATAAAGTACATCCTGCACCCTAACCCTTCGAGGTCATTGGTCACAACCCATAACCCTATCAGAATAGGGTTGTTTGTTTTTGTTAAATTGTTCTTTCAAGGCAATCAGAGAAGAAAGAAAAAAAAATTCAGGTGACACACAACAAAAAATATTTCACATTTTCTTCCTTGAAAATTCAGTTTTGCCTTTCTTTAAAATAAGATTAGCAATTAGCTTGGAGCTTAGAAGGTTAATACCTGAGGCTAAATTTCAAAGAAAAAGAAAAGTAAAACTAACTGCAGATTACACACATAATATCCCAGACTGAGATGACTCCAAAGAGTGTAACAATCCTTAAAAACATTATATTCTTCCTAACGTTATCTTTTCCAAGCAGCCTCAGTGATGAGTGTGCATATGGTCTCCACATGAAATCCATTTCAGTAACTGATTATTCTATGAATATATTATGCAAAATTAAATGAAATAATAAATTGTTTCTAAAGACTGTCAGTTGACATGTCATTCTCCTTGACAACCAGCAATTTCGGAAATTAGCAGTGCATACCTCACGCTGTGCTACATTACAATAAAATGGTGCTAGCTCAATCAGGGTTTGTATGTGTTACATACACATAAAGCTGATGCGTGACAAGTCAAAGATGAGTCAAATCTTAACATATATACAAGAAAACAGATAACAGGTCCTCACTAGCTTTTCCTCTTTGGCAGGGTCCCCTGAAGGGCTTCCTAGAGGCACTGGGGAAGCTCCAGAAAAAGTTTTACGCTAAAGGCCAGCGTCTGGACTGCCCTATCCGCACCTACCTGGTCACAGCTCGTAGTGCAGCAAGTTCTGGGATTCGGGCTCTCAAGACACTTCGGGCCTGGGGGCTGGAGATCGATGAGGCCTTGTTCCTTGCAGGAGCACCAAAGGGCCCTATGCTTGAGAAGATAAGGCCACACATCTACTTCGATGATCAAATGTTTCACATAGAGGGAGCGGCAGAGATGGGTACCATCGCTGCACATGTTCCCTATGGCATTGCACAGAAACATAACTCCAAGCACAACACCAGCGCAGGGAAGTAGACAAAAGGACTTTGGATGTTGGTGACCAGGTAGAGGGAGGGGATATTATCTTAGGACAAAACAAAAAGTTGTTAAAGTAAAATTCAGATGATGAACTTTTTCTATTTTTTAACTGTATGGAAGTACATGTTTGCTTGACCACAGTATCTACTGCCTCGGCTTAGTGCTACTACTTTAGGAGTCAGATAAGAAATCTGGATAAAGGTCAACAACAGGTCTGGAACCTGAGATGACCCAATAACCAAGGTGTCCAAAAACAAGTGTTTCATTAAATCATGCTTTGGTTCTTGACTAAGTATTTCTCTTACTACTCCTTGTCTTCATAGCGAAGACCAGGAGTGAACAACTGAATTGTTTATATATGTGTAACAGTGCACTGAATGTTAATAAATGAACTGTGAGCACAATGCAGAGATATTATATTGTTAACCATTATGGTGATGTACTATAGCATGAAAGTAATAATTTAAAGTTTTGTCAAACATTTTATAGTTTGATTACACACAAATGTAAAAAGATTAGGATGCAGCTGTACAAAATGTCTTGTATATTACTGAAGCATTCAATGCCATCTGTTCTTGTGTTCCAAAATCCAAATCAAATATAGAAAGCCATTTGGTGCCTTAGGAGTGGAATTATAGTTCTCTTGGGTGAACACAGGCAGGAGGGCACAGATGGTTTGTTTTATACTTCAGTGAAATATGTTTCTAACTGTTTTAACCCCACGTGGCACCTGACAGGATCTTAGACACTGTGATGTGTTTTTATCCAAAATACCCTCCACTCCTTTGTATTTGGAAGTATTTTAACTATAACAATATTTGGACTACTGTAATGTGGAGTGATACGAGAAACTCGTGGGAGCTTTGGCTTTGCATGATGCTTCGCAGCTCAGAGCGGTTCAAATGGTACGTAATTAGCATGCTATATTGATTGATTTCTTTTCTTTTTTTTCTTAAAGATTTGTGTCTTTTTTTTAAACTTTTTTTTTGGAGAGAGAAAAGAACAATGGAAAAGAGAGATGGATGAGATATGCAACAAGTTTCCCCTGCTTGCAATCAGACAGGTCACAAGTAATGTATGTGGTATGCAACTTAACCAATAGTGACCACACAGTGTTATAAATATATTACTGTAGCGAAGAAACCATGTTATTTACATTTCTAGTTGCAAACTATGGCTGTATGCTCTAGAAGTTGCCTTTAGTTTCAATGAATGTATAACTTACAGCCAGTTATGTTGTATGGCTTCCATGACGTTTTATGCAATCCCATAAATGACAGAAAACCAAAGTAAAACTTGGCAATTACATGTTAAAACCTAAGCTTGTTAAGGCTTTCACAGTTCATGGCATAGCTAAATGGAATTTTGATCCGTTTTAGCTGATATGTAGCATGCTAAAGTTTACCATGCTAGCATGCTAAAGTTTACTGTGCTAGCATGCTAATGTTCCCACAAATATGTGATCCTAAGGAGGTCTTAGTCTAACAAAACACTGACTTAACTGAATGAACCTGCGTTTTACCTTCATATTTAACCAGTGGAGCAAGTGTCATATTTTTACAGGTTTGCTAACCTAAGAGATTTTTGAAAGCTAGATCTTTTGCTAATATTCCAACTAGAGCACACACGTTATAGGTAGACATAAGCCGTCAATCTTGGGTTGAATTCTCTGTCTTGTATACCCAGGTGACTTTGTTTAATGGTGTAAAGTTTCACCATCATAAATCCATTTCTAAATTGTAGTTAGAGAATCTTGCTAATGTTTGATAGAAAAATATAAATGTTTCTATTATAGACAAAATCCCTGCAGTGACCTTTAGAAAATGCCAGTCTACTTCACATGACTCTACTTGTAACCAGTGTATAATTAGAGACGCATCATTACGCTCAATCAGTCTTCTGAGTACCACGGGGTTCAGAAAAGTGACAAGCAACCCGCAGGTTTAACCTCACAGGCAACACACATACAGTAATTAAACAGATGTGTCTCTTGGCAAACTAAAACAACTGCTGACTTGTGAGCAGATAAAGTTTCAGCACGACAAGCTAATCAGGGAACTCTGGGCTTCAGGGTGACATTCGGTTTCAGCTTGAACAGATTCAACAGCACTTTGATAACTGCTTTATTGAAGGATTTGCAAGATTAAGAAAATGTAAATGGACAATAAATAAAGATTACAATTGAAGTATTGGCTTTATTTTCATTTGTTTGTGAAAACTGATATAGATTACATGGATCTGTTTGTTCAGTGGCATGCACTCCTTCAGTCCACCATGGAGTGGCAGCATCGCACCACGGTGGAATGATTGATGAGCTGCAGCAGCAACCGCTCTTCACTCAGCGTAATGATGAAGATGGAAAGAAGCGACCACTTCGCTTTGATTTAACAGCTCCATGCACATAAAAGTTATCCTAATTTATGTCAGTTTTTTAATCTTTGCATCCTTTATTATTATCTTTTTGTGACAAATCCTCCCTTTCTCCATCTAATTTATCAGTCTTCACACTGAGCAGAATCACATTACGACCCACACTTTCATCCACATATCTATGATAAATGTGCTAATATTCCCAATATGGTTCATACCCAGCTGAATATGATCTTTCCAGCAGAGTGATAAAAGCCACAGAGAGCCAACATCCAGCACTGGACTACCTGGCACTATATCGCTAACAGCTCCACAGGGATGGGCTCAGGTGAACGCTGACGGATTGACATCGACATGGATTTTATAAGCTCCAAATCAGCTATGAGACAATGTTGTTGGCAACCTTTTTGGTGAGATAGTAGGGACAGATAGATCAGACAGATTTCTCTGGCCAGCTGGCACACACTGCAAAGTCTATGCACATTTAATGACACATGTGTAAGGCTGCCAGCTGTATTCATAAACAGACAATAACCATCAGCGTGGAAGGAGACGAGTGAAAGAGGATGGCTCTGTGCTCTGCTGTGCCTGACTGAGATCATGGCTGTGGACTAAAATGACCATAACGACCTGATGTCCTGTACCTTATAGGAAACTTCTGGGAGGCACTCAAGTTGAGTGTAAAGAGAAATTGCCAGGATATATATTTTCATTTGAGATGCTCAGCAGTGCAGTGATGGGAGGACAATCATGCAGATGTAAATGTAAGGAAAAGAAACGATCGGAGTGGAGAAGACTGCTGTTTCAAACAGGGATACCATTCACTACTAGGGGTGACCAAATGTAGAGCTTAACAGCCCTTAAGCTCAAATATAAGCTGTCTTATAGTCAGATGTGACCTCCTGCAGAGAGGCTGAGCAGGAGGAAACTGGGTGGGTGCAGACTGCTTTTATCATACTCAAATAACAACGCAAAAAACTATGACAATGACAGGAAAAAAATCTCAGCATTAAAGATAGAAACAGATGGAGTGGAAAGCAGCACTTGCATCAAAGACACAGATATTAAGAGTGTTGTTTTCCTTCTGCTTGGTTACAAAGCAGAGCAGGCACCCATGGAGAGAAAGGATGCGTGAGTCACTCTGTCTTGGCTGAGATGCCGGTCAGACACAGAGGGAGTCTGCAGTGAGAGACCACTCCATAAAGTGTTTTCGATCTCCTCTAACACGCTTCTTTATGTCTCTGTTGTCTTTGTAGCTTTAAAAAAATATTCTGTTCAATTCTTAAAATAGAGACTTTTCTAAAAGTGCTGCAAATACTTTAAATAGGAATGAAAGCGAAAACAGGAAGCTCTTTTCACTGTGTGCTATTTCCAGGAGAGTCATTGTGCTCTTCACTGTATAGTGAAACTGTGCCCTCTAAATATAAAGAGTGTCGAAACTAAACATTACTTTATTCAGATTTGACTGATTTTCCCTCCTTGGGAATTACTGGAATGTTTCCAGCTACTTTTAGATTACTTCCATAGACTGTAAATAAAAGATGAATGAATCTAAAAAATCAAACCTGTTAGGGTGCCTGGGTCATCAATCCAGTGTTTTGTGTTTTTGGTTCTTTGACTTTGTTTATTTCATTATATTCTAGCTTTCTTTGTCTAATGGGTTATATGATTGTTCTAAGTTTAGGTTCTCTGTGTGGCTAATGTTAGATTTTTAGTCTTCTGGTTTCTGTCTGTGTTCCATAGTTGCTGTCTCTCCTGTCAGCTGTTTCCCCGTGTCAAGTCCGCGTCTCTGTGTTATGTTTCCTGTTTTACTTTGAAAGTCTGTGTCTCATGTTAATGTATCTGGTTTTGCTTTCCTTGTCTCATTAGCCCTGATTTGTCCCAGCTGTGTTTCTCTCCTGTTTAGTTATTGTTTGTATTTTCAGTTTAGTTAGACTGGGTCTCAGCAATGAAACTGTTTTTGGAATGTACTTTTTGCCTCCTCCAGAAGTCTTTAAACTTGCATTTCTTCTTATTGCCAGCTGAACTTCAAACTGAACATCAGAATGAGAAAGAAAGATGATTTAAGTGACTTTAAATGTACCATGGTTGGCACCAGACTGGCTGGTCTGGGTATTTTAGAAACTTCTACACTGTTTACACTGAATTAAAAAGAAGTTATTTGGGTGAAAATGCCTTGTTGATAACTAGATTGCTTCAAGCTGATAGGAAGGCAACAGCAAGTCAAATTATCACTCTTTACCATCAAGGTATGGAGGAGAGCATCTCTAAATGCACAACATACTGAAAGTTGAAGCAGCAAATAGAACTTGTATTGCATTTTTCTACTCTATTTGAGCACTTGATGCACTTCTTTACTACAAACCTCATTCACCTGTTCACACAAACATTCATACAAGTGCTTTTTTTCCATGCCTAAGTGCATTTAAGCACTCTCTTCCCTGCACTTTCTCTGTGCCTTTGATTACAGAGGTGGTTTCAGGTGCACTAGGGGTCAGACTCTGCTGCCATCTAATCCCTTGCAACCTCTTGCAACTTGTAAAGCTGTTCTCACTGCTAGATTGTAGACTCAGTGACTATCTTTTCCAACCCTGTGTCTCCTCTCTTGTCTTTCAACTATTAGCTGACAGGGCTGAATAAGCAGTGTGTTTATGCAACGGTGAGGTGTCTGCCTGTTCACAACAATCACTCCTCCTCCTAGAGTAGTGTTAGATTTTTGTGAAGTTTTCTCATAATCATCACATAATGGGTCTCACCCAAAGTGTGCTCGAGGTAAAGGTCATACTTGTTGTTTTATGGAATCTCCACTCCTCCCAGAGTTCTAGTGGTCAGATTTGATACAACTGCTTGCAAGCCTCTTTGACTTCTCAGTGGATTTGAATTCAACCAATGACAAGAAAATTTTCTTTATGTACTTCACACTCTTACGATAACTTGCGGGCTGTGATGGATCGTGAGCTACTACGTCACCGACATTCTCGTTATGCCTACCATGCTCAACCCTCTAAAACAGCGGCCCCCAACCTTTTTTGCACCACGGACCGGTTTAATGTCAGAGAATATTTTCACGGAGCGCCTTTAAGGTGTCGCGGATAAATACAACAAAATAAAATGATACGACCAAGACAAAAACTGTGGTATTTATAAATATAGTAAATATAATAACAAACACAAATTCACTGTGTAATTGTGTAACTTTATTAGCAGCGTCCTCCTGAAATGTGCCAACAACATTAAGAGTAACATCCTCCTCTCTGCCCCTTAATACTCCCTGGTCACTATGGTAATGCGTAAATATTTCTTTTAAAATAAGAGACACAACTACAACACGGAAAACCCAGGGAAACCGAGTTAACAGCAAAACCCTGAAAACCATAAATTTCACAACCGAGCCTCAACTCTCGCGGCCCGTACCACACGACTCACGGACCGGTACTGGTCTGAAACACTCCAACACAGTTTGTTCAGGAGCACCACCTTATCCTGTAACTTCACTCTGGATCAACTCATTACATTTAAGCAACACAGCATCCGTCTTTGTCTCACGTACTTAACCACTGGAAGATCCACAGTTGAAAGCTTTTTCCAGTGTTGGACTTTATATGGTGTTATTGTTATTTCTTGGTGGCTGACTCAGCTCCTATCAAACTAGGAAAAGAAGCCATTAAAAATATTTAATCTTTCACATTTGGCAAGCACTATTGCACAGTGCCACTTCATAAAACTGAATAGGGAGTCAGTGGATAGTAAGCTGATTTATTTAAATCTCTATCAGATTTGTAATGCGTAGCATCCTTGGTGAAATCAATAGTCTGCTGCTTCAGAATGTGAGTCTGTGAGTCTGTGTGGCCTCAGTAACTGAGTATTCATTAACTCGCAAGCTGCATTTCACAGAGCCTGCTATTTCCTGCATGAGCAGCAGCTGGGGATAGGAATGAAGATAATGTGAGAGGTTGCCAGTCAGGTATTGAACAGTCAAAGTGTAATGAGTATAAACACCGGTTTCACTGTGCTAACTGCGAGGCAGCAAGGCAACTTATTCTGTCATGAGAAAACAGCTGACATTAAGTATCATATTAATGAAGAAAAACTGCTTCTGATTCAAAAAAGTACCTTCTATAATGTTCCACATTGTCAAGCACATCCTCCTGTTTCAACATCGATGACATAAACTGCATACAACATAACATGATGGAGGAACAATTTATGCTGTATGCATTATACCACATTTTGCATTCTCTTAGACAGCAGCCCAGCTTTTGACAGTATGGAGTTTAATGCTTTTTTAATGGATCGTCTTAATGCAAGGACCGACATTAAGGATACTGCAGCTGTTTGGTTTCATTTAATTTCATTTAGAACGAATGCTGCCTGTTTTATACCACTGAGCTCAGCTTTAGGTCATGTTATATTTTCTGTTGTTTCCTTTTATGAGCGTGCAGAGACTTCTTTGGTTATTCAAAGGTTGCATGAAAACACCGGGCAGTTCAAACTGGTTAGTTTGCAGTACTGTGACAAAGTTTACAATGATGCACTATGGTTACATCTACTGATAGGTTATTTTTAAGATGATGATTAGATTTACTCACTGACTTTTACTCTTTATCTTAGCTTTGTAGTGTCTACGGGCTGGAAATCAGTTCTTCAGTCTCTTTACAAAGAATGAGCTACTGGACTGATGTCTAAGTAATTAGTTTCCTTGTGTTGCACCCTGTGGATCAGGGAAATTATTTTACTGCTATTGGTAAATAATCATCATCATTACCATTGCATTAATAATATAATTTACAGTATTGATATTGTATTCAGAGATTTA